CTGATAATTAGGCCTAAGTTGTCCTATGGTTGTCAAAAATCCCTGATAAAAGATCATGAGAATTTCTTTTGGCGCTTCATTTTGACTAATGGTGATGTGATGATGATGAATTTTACTAAAAGTGTCATTTCTGGCCATCTAGAGGTACTATTTCCTCAAATTTTCTCACCTCAGCTCCAACCATTGTGTGGCTGGGGTGGGTGTCGACTTACAAAATGCCCTCCCCCTCCACCTTTCAAAACAGATCTGTGCCCTTCCCTGGGTATGACATTAAACTCCATCGAGTCGGCTCCTGATGTATGTTAAACTACATCGAGTCGGCTCCTGATGTATGTAGTGACTGCTGTTTGTTTTTAGGATGTGATCTGGTTTTTCATGTCCATTATTCGTGATTATGACTATTCTGGATAAAGAATGTTTTGAGCAGAGGTGGATTCAAGGCACCTCCCCACCCCCCTTCATTTTTTTAAGGAAAAAAGGAAAAATATATTCAAATTGAAGTGCGAGAGTGTAATTTCCGGCCATCTAGAGATGCCCTAATCATAAATGTTCTTACCTCAGCCCCAACCATGGTGGGGCTGAGGTGGGTGGTTCCTCGGTCTGTGAAAGTCCCTCTCCCTGGTTCACCTCTCTTTCGAATTCCTGGATCTGCCACTGTTGATTTATTGTATAATTATTTTTTCGCTGATTTATAATGCGTCTATTGCAATTTTCACTTTATCCTCTCAAACAGTCCTAAGAACGTTCAGAGTACGCTACTTCACAGGGGGATTCGCCCCCTTGACCCCGCCAGGGGCATACGTAATTCGCATAACGGCTCCCCCCGCCCACCCCTTTCAAAATCCTGGCTACGTCCTTGATCTACGCTCATAATTTTTATAATTAAGCTCATAGTTTAAGACATTAAGCGTAGGTCGAACCGGAATATTCATATTTTACGAGTCTTATACACATTATGTGTACTTACTTAGCGCCCATTATGCCATGTGTTAATATCTTCTGAAATTTTCAATTTCATTTTTGGTTTCAATCAAAATATTTGTGTGTTAGGCTACTGCTTAAATTTTTTGAAGCAGTAACTAACACACGGCTTTACTTGTGTGGCTTCTTTTGGGGAGGATTACTTGGAATGGATTTGCGCAAATCTCGAGACCAAATGTAACGGAAAAAGCGAATATAAAATAATTGAAAATGACTACTGAGATCGATACAGGGCCCCAGTCAACTGATCATAGTTTTCAGGCTCTGTTTTCAGGTTGTAGAGGGAGCCCTCAAATTTTAGCTGAAAACGATCGCCGTGAACCAGGTACCCAGGCACACCGTATCCTTGCTATCTATATTGTTTTACTGTATCACTGATCCTATAGGATCAACATGAGTTAAGAGAATAACTTTGTTCGCATCATTACTAAATTAAAATCTTCGGATGAAATCGTGTCGGAACTGTCGGTAGATTGGCGAATTTGTTGGCTTTTCTACCATCTCAATCAATTATATTTCTATGTTTCTTGTCATTGGGCAATTTTATCTGAAGAGTGTCACACCGTGTGTGTGGTACGAAACTAAGTAGTAATAAAAACGTCTAATCATCAAAGCTACTGTTGAACCTCGCTTTATA